AAGGCAGAAGCAGAAGCTGTGGTGCCAGTTCCAGCCCATGTGCCAGACCAGCTCTACATGCCACAAGCAGCATGCAGGATCTGTCTGAGACCAATGGACTAGATCATACAGCTCCACAGGCTGGATCAGCGTTTGGTATCCCTGGTATCGGAGTGATTGCTTTTAGTTTTGGAGGGTCCTAGTTCAGGTTCCAGTACATCACTTGGGAAGGTAGTCACACTGCTACTTCTAAGCTGTCAGAAGAAATCAGCTCTTGGATAGTGTGATGAGCCTGGGCTTTTGTCCCTACCCCTTCTCATCTGTACTTCCCCAGTCTCTCACCTGCTATGATTTGCTGGTAACCAGTGTATTTGGAAGGGAGGCTGTTCTTGGAACCAGAGTAGCCCTTTCCAGGGTGCTTTCAGGCTGTTATCCATGGCCTCCTTGTCATCCTCATAGCTATGTCCACAACTCACTGATGGCTGCTTATCTGTCCCATTTTGATAACATTTTCCTACTCACTTCAATTTTGTGTACTGGACTAACACTGGGTCCTTTAGTCTCAGCTTCAACCCCTTTTACCCTAGCTGAGACCCAGTCCAGGTCCACTGATGTGGGCCATGGCTCTCCAGGCCTCAGCCCCACAGTGGAAGGTGCCAAGTAGACAGCTCACTAGTAGCTTCCTTTACCCCTATAGCCACTCCCAGTCCTCCAGTCTTAAATACACAGAAGAAAAATCAGAACCCAAGAGGATGCAGTTATAACTCAACTACAAGTTATAACTCAACCACACAGGGAACTGCCTTAATTCTTCCTAGCCCTAGAGTACCTTCTTTTCACTATCAGTTAGCTCTGTCCTCCACCCGTTTCCATACCACCTGGAAGCCTGGCCTACCAGCTCCAGCTCAGTGACTGGGCTTATATGTAGCTAAGCCCTGCCCCTGCCAGTCACCTGAGTGCTGCCCCTGAAGATGGGCCCATGGGTGTTCTCATGAGAAAGGTTGTAGTGAGGGCAGTCAGGAAGGGGAAATGCTTGGAAAAACAAACTGAAACTTTTTTGCAGTTTTTTGTTAGCTCAAGAGAGAGATCTCATCCATCAATGTGGTGCAAAGTCCTCTTTAACTCAGAAAAGGAAACTGTTTTGACAAACCAGTTCAGTTGTAACCCTGCTACTGTATCTGTGCGACAAACTCTTTATGGTGCTTATCTGCATATCTTCACTGGTATGCACCATCAGATTGCTAAGAACTGTCCTCTATATGCATATTCCATTGGTATTTATGGGTGAGAGTGTTGGCTACAAATGTCCAACTCAGGATCCTTAAAATTCTGGTTTATTAGGCGGATTGAAACACTGTAATGAAGTTAACTCATAAACCTTGGGCTGGTCCCCACACACACGCACGCACACACATGCACACACACAGTAGCAAGCTACAAGAGTCCGGTATACCTATCCTACAAGCGCTGGAGTCTGCCGTCGATGGCCAGTCGAGGCTTCTTTCAGCGTGGTGTTATCCTCCAGAAGGGGGTCACCGGCTGGTCCTTCTGGCTCGACAGGCCTGGTTGAGTTGGAGATCAAGAGGGCGCTACTGAGGGTCACTTTTTCACTGCTTTTTATCTGTCCTTAGCAGACTTTGGTGACTCCCCAGTTTTCAGGTTTGCCCAATCCAGGGGTCATTGACCCTTGTGGGACTTTCCCCCTCGGTGGCTATTGGATGGCATCTGTCAGCCCCAGGGGTTGTCCGCGTGCATGTGCAGATTTGGGAGTCCGTTGATGAATTTTGAATAGGGCTCTGGGAGCAGTCGATTTGGAGATATTCAGCCCAAAAGTTGGTCCCCGGAGTTGATTAACTCAGGCCAGGGCTTCTAGCCCTTGATCAGTGAGGTTTAGAGATTTCCCGGTTGTTATATTGTCTTCTATTGAGTTCTTCCTGTTGGGACCCAGGGCAGCTGGCCAGCAGCTCTCCCTGACTCCCACCCGAGCAGATAAGGGTCTAGGGCCTTAAAAGGCTGTCAGGCGGGTACTTGTGACACTTGGAGTGGAATTAATTAGGCGGACGCTTATCGGTTGCAAAGCAAGATTATTTACTCACGCCGTCAAGGTGGTGAAAGACAGAGGTTAGAAATACTTGGTTAGTTACAGCTTAGGGTTCGTAGGTCGGTCTGCATAAGTTCGGTGGTCGGGCAGAGAAAAGGTCGGGCCGGCAGGTCGTTGATTTACATCTGAGATTGGGTCGAGACGCGGGGAACTGACAAGTGATCAAATTGTCAGTTACTCTGACGCATATGTTCAGAGGTCTCCAGGTTGCGTGTGCGGAGGTCTCCCCTTCTTCACGGAAGTGAAAACGGGTTTTATTTGTATAATAGCCAATTGGTTTTCGCCACATCATAAATTTAATTAGAATCGCCAATTATCTAGCGGTCTTCGCTAGGGTGTTATTTTAGGGCTACTCCCTGTTTTCTCTGACCAGTTATAATGATTTATGTAAAGCACAGAAGGCTAAGTTTCATTTCTAGTTAGTGTCGCAGTTATAAATCTCTTTTTGACATGCGCAGCAAAAAAAACTGTTACTATCATTTTGTTTGTTAACCCTTAGTTAACCTAGTGTAAAATAAAACTGCTTTAAAAGGTATTACTTGCTTGTGACATGGGCACTATTATAATTGGGTTGTGACACTTCCTTTGGTTGATCTGCAGTTTTCTTAGGTGTTAATTGCTGCCTGCTGTGTCTAGTGGGTTATGGAATAGAGAAAATCCCACACAATTTACTGATTCGTTTTGATGCACTGGCTGGGGGGGTAGTTAGCTGATTGCATGATTTCACAATGATTATACACTTAATTCATACAACACAATTTTATTTTAAAACTCTTTGCTATGTATATAACACTGCTTAGCTTTAAGAAACACCACAAACATTAAGAACACAATAATTACATATATCAGAAACAATGCTCCGAATGCACTTCCTTCCCAAACAATGCTATAAGAATTAGTATTACAAAAACAACTACAATTACAACTAAAAGTTAAATTTGAATCAATACTATTATTTTCATATTATACTTACAATCCTAGAATTCCGAGAAGCCAAATACCAAAATATGGTTTCATTCCTCAGTAGTAC